TGTCACCTTCAGTCATTTCCTATTCTTACTCTTAAATCTAAGAACAGCTGCTAAAGAAAAAAATGCTAGAAGGATTTCAGTAGTCATCCCTCATTTCCATTCCAAACTTCTAACCCTAGCCATCTTCTCAGATGGCAGAGAAAAGTTAAAAGATTGATAATAGTAATAATTAAAATCACAGGCTCTAGGAGAGGGAGAATATCACCATATAAACTTGTGACTTTAAATAAAACACAAATTCTGGTCCTCAGTTTCTTCATGTCTAAATAGAGGGGTTGTACTATGTCTAACATTCCTTCTCATGATAGCAGTATGATTCTACTTCAAGATTTCAAATGACTGGTTTTGTCAAATAATTTGCTGGGGTTGGGGGAAGCAAAGGAAGAGATATTGATGAGCATAGATTATAATTACTTAAGCCACATGCGGAGAACACACATATTTGTATTTTATTTACTAAATTACTCCAAAGTTTTTCTAACCACCATTTTAATTTAGAAGTCATCTATATCACTGTCTCCACATGTTGGTTTTCAACTCAAGTAATAGTTTCAATTAATCCAAGAGTTATCAGGCAAGATTCAAAACAAAATAATTTAATTAATTTTAAATGACATGCATACTTTGGGGAGAGAAAAGTGTGGGTTACAATTAGTTAGAATGTTAAAACTCAAAGCAGACTGATTCAAACATACTATACATGTCTGTACCATTTACTTTGTTAGCCTTTTCTCTATTAAGACCTACGCTTAATCAAAAATAGCATTCTTCTTTCTACTAATTAGTTCCAGAAACCAACTAACAGCCATCTATGATAGTCATTTATTATTGATAGTAGCATAAAATCCCTAAATAATCAGAAATTTACTCTGTCATTTATGAATGAATATTCTATGCCATCATAAACCACAAAAATCATTTTTAACCTTACCTGATAGATCTTGGCATCCCTCATTAGTTTTTCTACCGGATATTCCGTATTAAATCCATTGCCTCCAAAAATCTGCACAGCATCAGTAGCTAACTGATTTGCAACATCTCCAGCAAACGCCTTTGCAATAGAAGCATAATAGGTATTTCGGCGACCAGAGTCAATCTCCCAGGCTGCTCTCTGGTAACTCAATCTAGCTAATTCAACTTTCATTGCCATTTCAGCCAGCAAAAATGATACCCCTTGGTGCTAGAATTAAAAAGAAAAAAATTTAAGGATGTCTACTGACAAAACTTAAAAGTCTTTTTCCTAGGGCCTTTTGTTTTTTTAACTTTTTATCAACTAATTATAGGCTTACAATGAAGTTATACCCAGCTTCTTCTAATGTTAACATATTATAAGGCCAGGCGCAGTGGCTCACGCCTGTAATCCTAGCTCTCTGGGAGGCCGAGGCGGGCAGA